CTCTTTCCAGGTCTTAATCAGCGTCAAGTCTCGTGGTCAAAAGTGATGAACAGTGAATTTGAAGGGATGGGTTTGGACCAAAAGTTCTTTTAACATCTACAGCATAATATAGTTTTCCTCCTCGTAAAAAGATGAAATGCATACATACAGGGTAGCCCACATTTTAACAGCAACAAAAATGTTTTCAATTTAGAAAGAGTATTGGTACACCAAATATCTTTTTTTTTTTCCAAAATATATTTTAAAACAGTATTTTATTCTCAAGGGATCTGAAACATTAATAAAAAAATAAAATACATACAAGCAAAGTCTTGAGCAATGTATAATTTTAAAAAAATGCTATCACAACAACCAAACAAATCCTTAACTATACTTTAAATATATTAATTTATACAATTTTACTGTAGAAGAATATCAAAGATATTAAAACAGAACAAAACAACTTCTCAGTGCCTGATTCACATTTAAGTTTCACTTTGTATGGGTAAACTCAGAATTTTGCATTATAAGCTCAAACAGCCTATGTCTACATTTATCTTAAGAATTCTATTTGAAAATCTACCATACTGGCTGTAGATCATTTCTCCCTTCTATGGGGATAAGGTATTGTCTTCTACAGACCACCTCCTCCCCTACCACCACCCCCTTCCCCCCCCACCCTATTTTGACTATTCCCTCTTAAAACGTCCTACTTTTCAACATTTAAAGTATCTGTTTTCTCCTCTGTTTGTGGGTTCCCCTCACCTCCTATTTTGTCCTGACTGTGGGGGCTGGGATCCCAAGGAGCATTGGTTAATTATCCTTCCCTGAGTTGCCTGCAGGAAAGTGGTGGTGGTGTGTCTTGGAGTCAATTCTGACTCACAGTGACACTATATATGGTTTCTAAGGCTGTAAACCATTACAAAAGCAAAAGGCCTCATTTTTTTCCCATGGAACTGCTGGTAGTTTCAAACTGCTGACCTTGAGGCTTGTAGCCTGATTTGTAACCATTATGCTACTAAATTTAAAGTGATAATTTTGACATAAAACCAAACGGCCACCACTCATATGTCTGTCATGCTGTGGTGGCTTGAGTTGCTGTGATTCTGAGGACTATGCCACTGGTATTTTAAATAACCAGCAAGGGTCACCCATGGTGGACAGGTTTCAGATGAGCTTCCAGACAAAGACTAGGAAGAAAGAGCGACAAACTACATCCAAATCTTTAGTCACTGAAAATATTATGAATAGCAGAGAAACACTGTCAGATAGAGTGCCAGAAAATGAGCCCCTTATGTTGGAAGGCACTCAAAATGTGACTGGGGTAGAGATGCCTCCTCAAAGTAGAGCTGACCATGATGACGCGAATGGAATTTAGCTTGTGGGAGAAAAGCCCACAGAACCTTCATTTGCTGATGGGGCACAACTCAAAATGAAGAGAAACAGCTGTAAACATCCATTGAAAATCGGAACATG